AGAAAGAAAGAAAGAAAGAAAGAAAGAAAGAAAGAAAGAAAGAAAGATCCCCTTTAGTATTTGTAAGAACAACGAGAGAGAGAGAGAGAGAGAGAGAGAGAGAGAGAGAGAGAGAGAGAAGCACCTCCTCCAAATCTGCTCTACAGGAGGCACGTGTTCTGGATGGCACAAATCTGGGTGAAAGGTGAAGGGAGAGGAAGGGGGAGAAGAAGAGGGGATCAATTGCTGCACATTCTCTGGGGAACCATGAGATGTGTAAATGGGCAACCAGGGAAGAGCTACATGGTGTCCAGGTTTTCCGTCTGAGGGAGGAGACCACGGAGAGATTGGAAGACCCCGTTGAGTTACCCTTGATCATTTATGTTGTTGTTTCTACCATAAAGGTGAGGTGATGGTGTCACACCATCCTCTGGCAAAGTGCTGGACATGGACCCTCAGTGACACTCCATCGTGCAAATTTTGGAAATGGGGGGGGCTAGATTAAAGTTCAAAGAGACCACGCATTGAAGGTATCCTGAGTTGAGGGGGAAGATTTTAGGGGATGACTGACTGACTGTCCTCCCCGTTAGTCTCCTCCTCTTCTGGAAATACTGTCTAAGGTACTGACACCAAAGAAACAAGTCTCCCCCCTATAAAAGTCCTCAGTGTTCTAGACAAGGGCGAACTGATCCTTGGATACAGTGCCCCCCACCAACTGCTATTAGAGCCATCAGCTATTCCTTGCAGGTTAGCAACTCGGAAGTACTTTATCGAAAGAGCCGAGAAAGAGTGTTCTTCAAACAAGACAGAGCCTTGATTGTGGGAAAATTAGCTTTAAAGATGAGTTGATACTCCCCACCCCCACAAAGGGATGACAGGGCTACAGAGGTGGCTCATGGGCAAACCGTTTGGCATGCAATCTTGGGAACCTAAATTCAGACCACTAGAATGCACACAAAGCTGGGTGTGTAAACCTGGGTGTGGCCGTCATGGCTATAATCCCAGTTACAGGGCACACAGCTGGTAGTGAGCCCTGTCTCAAAGGAGATGGAAAGTGAGAACTGACAGCAGCAGTTGCCCTCTGACCTTTACACACGCGTGCCATGGTGTGCGTGAATATGTACACGTATGCACATGCTTTTTTGAAAGGGACGATGGGGATTCCGCCAGGCTGAGCAGATAACAGGAATACAAAGGGGCTTCCAGATGGTGTCAGAACCAGCACCCTAACACCCTAGTCCTCTGTCACACTAATCCTCTTGAGCATTCCTTTTGGATTTGGACAGGTGCTTCCCAGAGCTCTCAGTGGCTCCCTTGGGAGAGCCTATTTCTGATTCTCTTTCCCACACTAAGGTACTAGACTAGAAATAAGGGATTAAAAGTTTAATTCTTTTTTTAAAAAAATTTATTCTTCTTTCACACAGTTCATAATGACTAGAAGCCTCTCCTCCTCCACCCTTCCCAGCCACCACCCCCCAACCTCCCCTCTCCCCCAGATCTTCATCAGAACCTTTGAGAGCTGAGACTACATGCGAAGGATTGTGGGGTGTGTACAGGAAATAGGTGTTGAGGGCTTCCATTGGAGGTGGAGCTGGGATCAGACTGGGCTCCCTGGATCCCCCCTTGCGTGAGGTCATAGCCGGGTCATCATCTACAGTGTTCGCCTGACTCCGTACTTGTTTGCTATATGGGAAAGCTTGTTATATAAGAGGTCTTACTGGATGACTAACTGCATTTGATGCATGCCAGCTAGTTGTATAAGGCTGTGATTCTCTGCCAGCACTTGCATTGAGGCTTGTGCTAGCAACGTTAAAACACTACCTTTATGGTTCTTCAAATGTGTGATTCCAAAGTCAGGTAACTTAACCTCTGGGCCCTCTGGCGCCTCACTGAGATTTTTTTCTTCTGTGTTGTGAGGTATATACTGTTCTTAGGCAATCTTAGTTTGGACGTGTCCTTGTGTGTTTTTGTTACCAGAGTAACATGGGATTCCTAAAATGGGTTCAGAAGAATTCTCTCCCAGAAAGGAGCATGGTTGCCCCATGGGTTCAAGTCACTCTTTATTGGGAAATATTCATTATGGACTTGGCTCATAACTACCTGGAGTTTCCAAACTATACTATGTTCTTATATGAAAGTCCCAAATTTCTGCTGTTTCTACTCAACTTCTTTTTCTTACACATCCTTTTGTTTCCAGATACTTCAATACTCTATAATGATTAAAATCTCAACAATTAAATAAAACTGCACCTCGCCAACAAACTTGTCACCACAAATCATTTTGTACAACTTTTGATTTTATTAAGAGCTTTCAGTCAGATGTACATGCTGGCAATTCTAGCTTGAAGTTGTCTCAGACCACATACTAGGCCAGTCTGATACATATCGCAATGAAAATTCAATACATATTACATGTATGTACATTCCACAGACAGATGCAGATAAATACATGCTGGTGTCATTACAGTGAAATAGAAACATCTTCATGTAGCTATTATCATGTGACTAGGGTCTTAAGGACTTGTAATTCTACTTTATTAAACTGAATATTGTGCTAGACACCACAAAGTGATTATAGCCATAATTCATATTTAATTGCTATTCTAAATTTTTCTATCTTAAGGCTATTAATGTACACCAACAAATAGCCCCAGACTCTGCTGTGCCTTTCGAATGTCACAAGATTTCATAATGATAATTCTTAAGGTTAATCATTGAAAAATGTGCTCTTCCCTTAAGTTTCCCAATTTCTTTCTTCATCTAATCAAGTAGGGCGTGCAATTTCACAATCTAATTCAAGTTAATTTATAACACATTTTAAAAACATTTCTGTCAGAAAGAAAAAAAAACAGAATGAGGAGTTGTGGTGTCTTTGATGGGTTTTTCTCTAAGAATGCATTTACTGCATCTCTCCACATTGCGTCTACCTTAAGTTCCAACAACCAGGCAGAATTCTGCAAACAATCCCTTTTCTAACAAATAGAAATCCAAGTATAAGTTTATAAAAATATAGAATTATAGCCTTAGAAAACACAAAATACTTAATGTTACTATTGAGTTCCCTACTAATCCTCGGCACTTGGTAAACTAAAATTACAAAGGTTTGTCAAACTCAACAGTGCTTCTATATCTTCACCGAATCTACTTCTGCATGTGTTTCTGAGACAGAGTTGTGATCTCAGGGGGCACTGTCAGGAAGAAGGTTTCAGGTCACCGTCACCCAGCACAGAACACCCACCTCTCCAGATCTTAGAAGGTCAGGACCGTGCGAATGCTGAAATGGATAATGAACAGCCTTTAGTCATTTGTGCATAATATGTAATGCATATGTGTGTATGTATGAGTATGTATGCATGTGTATATGTATATATGCATACATATATGTGTATGTGTGTATATACATGCATATGTGTGTATGTATACATATGTGTGTGTATGTATGTATGTATTATGCATGTGTGTGTATGTATGGGAATGTGTGCGTGTGTATATGTATATGTATAGTTTTTCAAAGAAGAAAAACTTTCCTTCTTATTATAGAAGTTATATGATTCATTTTGTTAAGGGAAAGTCATCTGGGTTTGAGGTCCACACCTTCTGTGCCTTCTGCTGAGGAAAGCCGAGTGGATAAAGAATTGACTCTGGGAGTACCTGCTTAAATTGCAATTGTCAACAAGAAAGGGTTTGTCCTGCAACAGAAGGACCGAGGCCATGATGGGGAGAACAGGAAAGACAATCCAAGAGGGTGTAGGCTCCTCAATGCCTAAGAGATGGTACCTTCCCTGTACCCCAGATACAGGAACTGGAGGAGAATGGGTGTTGTGTTCCTACTTACTGAATATTAGATTGCTTAACAAATGAAAGGGGGCTTTAGTTCAGTAATAAGGCCACTCTGGCACATTGATATTGGAGAAGGCTGACTGACTGGGATTGGAAAACAGAAAGAAGAAGGCCCACTAAGTTACTGTCAACATGCCCAGAGGAGAAAGGATCAGACTGGGCCAAAACGATGATCACAGGCAGGGAAGAGGAGAGACACTGGAGGGGAGGAGGTGGCAGGGGTGAGTGTGTGGGGTCCTGTCTGCAGGTCTCAGCATCTCTTTGGACACACTGGGCAGGAGTCAGAATAAAGATGCAGAGCTGTGGCTTCTACTCTGGAAAAGCAGAACAAAAGTCATTCTCTGCTTAGATGCAGAAAAGCAAGAGTTGCTTGGTGAATTAGACAGAAATGGACCACTCCGCGGGTCCTGTGCACGAGGTCATGGAAATTGAAGGGCTCAGGCTTGCAAATGTCATTTGGGAAGTTTCTGCATTTGGGATATAGGAGAAGTAAGATTTCCAAAAGCAGTTTTGTTTATTTGGAAAACATCTAGCAACTATTTTTTGAACCACTAAAATATTAGTTCTGTGTATGTAAATAAATAAATTTCGACTTTTCTCCGGGTAGAAACCCATTCATTGTTGACTTGTTTAAAGATTAAAATTTGAACATATGTACATAATGTTATGACTCTGTTGACTGCATCAGGCAGGGAGAGAACACAGAAAAGAAACATTAGTTCCTGTTATAGCAGAATCCAAACCCACTGCATGCTGTGGACTCTCCATATTTACACAACCCATGAATATCGTCTATTCTGTTCTCACAGGCAGGTCCCAGACTCCATACGAAAAGGGTAGCTCAACTTTGACTCCTTCCCACTCCACTTTGCTCTTGCCCAGTGCTCAAGAGGGGGAAGAGGGTGACAGAAACACCCACTGTTTATGTGGCTTACAACACTTCGGGTGAGTGCACCCTGGCAATGCTCCCGTGAGACCAGATATTATTTATTTGCTTTTTTGTAACCTTAGCTTTATCAGCTGGACATGGCAAGAATAACATCTGAGAGACAAAATTCAGACAGCAAACAAGTTACAAAAGAGTTTTTGGGAACTAAAAGGATGTTCGTTGCGGTACTGCTGGAGAATTCTAGCAGCTTTATGTTTTAAAAAATAGGTCAGTGAAATCCATCTTCTGTGAAAAACTAAAGCCTGGGATATTTTAAAGAGCTCATATAGGACTGACCTTCTAAGAGAGTAGCTATGTTCCCCTGACTAGCTTAAATAATCCAAATGAAGAAGGGAAGGAGATGGGTATATTTATAAATACTAATTTTTTAAAGTGGGAGTCAAAAGACGCCTTAAGAAACATACCTTTGCCCTGAATAAAGCAATTCAAATCCTTCATTGATGTTTTTGAAAGGCAAAGTGTGGGTTACCAACTGGTCCAGGTCAAACTTCTTCTCCAGGAGTTCAGTCACCAGTTTGGGGACATCATCTCTGCTCTTCCAACCTGTGAGTAAACTCGGGCTTGTTCTGCGTACATCGCTAAGCAAGCCTCACATTTTATGGCATTAAATTTGTGTCATTTCTCTTATGCATTCTCGACACCTCCAGCTGAGTTATTCCCAACATACAAAGGAGCTGTATTTCTCTCATTTTAAGAAACTACAGTTCACAAACCCCTTCTTGATTCCTGTGTCTCCTTCCTGTTGTCCCACACCTCTGTGTCACACAGAACCACAGAGAGAACGTTCTCCCCTGCACTCTTTCTGCTTCCAGTCCCTTCGATTCTCTCGTGAGTTCACCCTACAAGGATTTATACTCTAGCACACCGCTCTTTGAACTCTAGCCAAGCTTTCCCCCGCCGTCATTTTGATACAAAGGTCGACTAGGATTCCTATATTAATGTGCACTCTGGGGAGTCTTGGTGGTTGAAGTCCCCCTGCCCAACTCTGCTCACTTGTTTCCTGTTAACACCCTCATTCCTCATTCTCCTACCTCAGCTAGGAAAGGATGGTTCTGTAAGATAGAAACCTCCACATCTCCCAGACTTTTACTGTGTCCCAGGGCTTCGTTCTCTACCTTTTCTCCTCTTTGTGCCTCTCAGGGTGATCTCCTCTATTCTAAAGACTTCAAAGAAACTGTATTTACAGCATTTCTGTGTCTGTCTCTAGTGAGGCTTTTCCTTGAGCTGTAGACTCATAGCCAGCAGCCTAACTACAGCATGTATTCCTCAAAGTATCTGAAAATCAGAAGGCCTAACACTATATCCAGCATTGGATTCTGTACTGTAAACGTGCGACTAAGAGTGTCGCTGTCACTGCAGGATCAACACTAAATAACCCTAGAAAGGAGTAGAGTACCAGTGGTAAACGCTAGCCGTACAAATGTCACCTGACCACTCTTGATTTCCACCCCCTTCCCACTAGTCCCCAACTTGCTCCTTCTGCAGTCTGGAAATCTGAACATGAGCCATCATCAATTTAATTGCAACATTAATTTTTTTATTATTCCATTCATATTTTGTTTGTATTTTCCAACAAATTATGTACTTCTCTAATTCAAGAACAATCATCTTTCTCCTTCTTACGCTCTCATCAGGTACTCAAATGGTTAATATTCTCTCACTCTGTGTAAGGCAGAGTCTAATATGAGGAGTGCCACCTAAGTTCCTAGGGCTGCATGAAGGTACCAGAGAACGAGACATCGTGGGAAGGGATTGAAAGTGTCATTATACTGCCTACTGCAGCTTCTTTGTTGTTTTGGTGGGAAGTTGAACTGTCCCTATGGAATGGGGCATTCCAGCTCTTTATTTATTTGGGCTCTGGGCACAGAACTTTTGCCAAAGTCTTCATGAGCAGGGCAGTCTCTCTGTCCTAAGTGAGTGTTCTTGTGTGTGGGGGAAACAGTGGAGGCTGTCAGAATTTTCTGCCAAGGAAGTCATCCTGGTGGAGACAGGTCTGATGCCTTTTATTTAGGCTTTTGGGTCACAGGAGTTGCAGATACTGATCTAAAGTGTGCCCCCTGGTGCTAGCCCTGAGTCACTTAAGAAACAGATAGGAGTTGTCTTTTGTGTGATTGCTATGGCAGCTCCACTTGGGGTCATTTACCACTCATCCTTGGAAGAAGTTGCTTCCAGGGTGAGGAGATGAGAACACACACCTCTCTCACTTGATAGGCAGAAGGAAGGTTACTACTCGCTGGGCAGGGGCCCAGCTGCTCTCACCTCCAAAGACGCAGCCCTTCCATGTCCGCCCAGTGAAGAGCAGCATTGGGTCATAACTGAGCATCTTGGCCGATGGAGGAGCACCAACCACCACACTGGTTCCATAGTTCATGTGGCAAGATGAGAGGGCATCAACCTGAGTTCAAAATGAAGGAGATCGTTGCTTATGGAGAGCATGGGCTCAGAAATGACAACAGGAGGTCAGAGTCCCAGCTGTTAACATGGTTTCCAACTACTAAATCTAGGCTTAAGGTTTCTATTTGATTTAAAACTTCTCAATGTAACTTTAGTCCTTACTAATCCCTACCAAGATGTACCTCTTAAGATATCAAGTAGCCTTTACCGTGGCCATTGTCAGTGTCATATTTTTAGTACTTTTAGTCGACCTTCAGTGACTAACATTCATACCAACATGAAGACTTCAGATAAACCTTAGTTGTTATTTGAGCTAAATCAATTTAGATAAATTAAATCAATTAGAACGTTTGAAGTTTGAAATTTTCATTTGAAAATTAAGCACAAATCCTAAAATAATGAGGCAATGGAGGTTCTTTTCTTGGCAACATCTCTGGGGCTAGGTCCACGTTTTTGTTCATTCGCCCTTCCGGTTATTCATTAATAACACTTTTCAATATCAGTAGATTGCAACACCCAACAGTGTGCTGCACACGGCACTTCCTCAGGCTTCCACCTCAGCATCAGCAGACCTCATAATGTATCTCTCTGGCTCACTGCTCTGTAGTGTGCAACCTAGAATGCCACAGTCGCTACAGAACACATTCCAGGTGACACCAAAAAGGTTGTGTCTGTGATGATGAACTGGAGGTTTCATCTCAATTACCAAATGCCTTAGAGCAAATTTCACCTGTTAAGCGATTGTGAGCGAGACTGGCTTTGTCCAGTTTCCAGGACTCCTAATTCTACACAAGGCCATGGCTTTGTAATTCCAGGAACTCTGTGCTGTCAGCTGAGGGGTGCCTCAGAGGAGGTGTTGTTCAAAGTGCTGTGGTTTCTGTGTACTGGGGACTGAGAGGCAGGATGGCTGAGCTGGGTGAAGCAAGGGGAGGTTTGGAGGAAGGTAGCCACGTGTAGACAATACCTTCCCTCCTTAGCTCTCTTCAGTTCTCATCACAAAACAAATTCAAGACAGGGAACTGCTTTTGCCAAGACCCCCAGGCACACAAGGAAAATAATAGGCCATAGGTTGGATCTAATGACATGAAAATGGCATGACATGATACTTCCATGATCAGGTAAAACCGATCTTAAGATTGTGACTTTTAGGCAAAATTGTTATGTGTTTATCATTGTATTTTTCATCACATTTTTATGCATTCATTTGTTTGTGGGTGTGGGCAAGGGCTTGCCATGGAGTGGGTGTGGAGATCAGAGGACACACTTGTGGGAACTGGTTCTCTTTTCTGCAGGTAAGCATTGAAAATCAAGCTGAGGCCCAGCTTCCATCCAGAGGGCCATCGGAGGGGTGAGTTTGCTTCGGGCCCACGGCAGGGGCCCGGCGAGAAGGAGCTAGGACTTTCCCCGACCCCATAGACTCCCAGGTCACTCTGCACTGCTGGCTCCACCCTGCTAGCGCCCCCGCCAGCCGTCCCAGCTTCCATCCAGAGGACCATCAGAGGGGTGAGTTTGCCTGCGGCAGGGGTCCCGTGAGGAGGAGCTCGGACTTTCCCCGACCCCTTAGGCTCCCAGGTCAACCTGCAGTGCTGGTTCCACCCTGCTAAGCTCTCCCGCCTGCCATCCCAGCTTCCATCCAGGTACAAATTTCTATATTTCTCCCCTCCCACTGGGGCCATAAAATTTCCCCAGCTCAGCTGCCTTGCACACTGGGCCTGCTCTGAAGGCACATCCCGGAAAGAGGGAGTGCCTGTGCTTCAATAGCCTGCCTGAGGAAAGGTAGGCATTCTATCAGTGAACTCCCTGCCCAACAAGGGAACCTGACCCGCTACCAGAAGTTCCAATAGAAAGCATTTGAACGAAGAGATGGGAAGACGCCAAGGCAAGACCTCCTCCAACAATCTGAAAAACAACATGAAAACACCAGATCCCAACGACCCTACAACAGAAGGACTTGAACACTCTAACCCAGATGAAGTGGAAAAAAGTGCCATTATGAAAGCAATAGAGTCCCTTAAACAGGATATGAATAACTCCCTTAAAGAATTGGTCGAGAAGTATAACAAAAAGTTTGAAGAAATGAGTATAGAAATGGATGAGAAATATAACAAAAAGTTTGAAGAAATAAGTAAATCCGTGAATGATACCCTGAGAAACCAAGAAAAAAACAATCAAACAGGTAAAGGAAACAGTCCAAGAATTGAAAACTGAAATGGAGGCAATGAAGAAAACACAAAACGAGAACCGACTGGATATGGAAAACCTAGGTAAACGAACGGAGACTACAGAATCAAGCATAACCAATAGAATACAAGAGATAGAAGAACGAATCTCAGATTCTGAAGATACCATAGAGAAAATAAATGCTCTGGTCAAAGAAAACGGCAAATCCAACAAATTCTCTTCACAAAACATTCAGGAAATCTGGGACACAATAAAAAAACCAAATCTAAGAATAATAGGGATTGACGAGGGAGAAGAACTGCAGATCAAAGGCCCAGAAACTATATTTAACAAAATTATAGAAGAAAACTTTCCCAACCTAAAAAACGATATTCCTATGAAGGTTCAAGAAGCATACAGAACGCTGAATAGACTGGATCAAAAAAAAAGTCCCCTCGCCATATAATAATCAAAACACAAAACATTCAGATTAAAGAAAGAATATTAAGAGCTGCAAAGGAAAAAGGTCAAGTGACTTATAAAGGTAAACCTATCAGGCTTACACCAGGCTTCTCTATGGAAACCATGAAAGCCAGAAGATCCTGGATAGAGGTACTACAGAAACTAAGAGACCATGGATGCAAACCCAGACTACTATACCCAGCTAAGCTATCGTTCACTATCACTGGAGAAAACAAAATATTCCAGGATAAAAATAAATTTAAACAATTCGTAGCCACAAATCCAGCCCTACAGAAAGTAATAGAAGGAAAATCGCAACCCAAGGAATCCAACATTACCATCACTGCCTACAATAACCCAGACATCTAGTGACCCTTCACAACCACAACTCAAAGAAGAGAAACACACAAACTCTACTACACACACACACACACACACACACACAAATAATAAATGGAATCAACAACCACTGGTCATTAATATCACTTAATATTAATGGACTCAACTCACCTATAAAAGGCACAGACTTAGAGACTGGATAAGAAAACAGGATCCAACATTCTGCTGTTTACAAGAAACACACCTCAACCACAGAGATAGACATCTACTCAGAGTAAAGGGTTGGGAAAAGGTTTTCCAAGCAAACGGACCTAAGAAACAAGCTGGTGTGGCCATTCTAATATCTAACAAAATTGACTTCAAACTAAAATCAATCAGAAGAGATGGAGATGGACATTTCATACTCATAACAGGAACAATTAATCAGGAGAAAGTCTCAATCCTGAATATCTACGCCCCTAATATAAAAGCACCCACTTATGTAAAAGAAAAACTTTTAGAACTCAAGGCAGTCATCAAACCACACACACTAATAGTAGGAGACTTCAACACACCTCTCTCACCAATGGACAGATCAATCAAACAGAAACTCAACAGAGAAATAAGAGAATTGCTAGAGGTAATGAATCAAATGGACTTAACAGATATCTATAGAACATTCTACCCAAAAAGGAAAGAATATACCTTCTTCTCTGCAGCTCATGGAACCTTCTCGAAAATTGACCACATACTCGGTAACAAATCAAACTTACACAGATACAAAAAAATATTAGTAATAACCTGTGTCTTGTCGGATCACCACGGAATAAAGTTAGAATTCAATAACAATTCGAATTCCAGAAAGCCTACAAATGCGTGAAAGTTGAACAGTCAACTACTGAATCATCCTTGGGTCAAGGAAGAAATAAAGAAAGAAATTAAAGTCTTCCTTGAATTTAATGAAAATAAAGACACAACATACTCAAACCTATGGGACACAATGAAAGCAGTTTTAAGAGGAAAGTTCATAGCACTAAGTGCCCAATTAAAGAAAACGGAGAAAGCATATATTGGAGACTTAACAGCACACCTAAAAGCTCTGGGAAAAAAAGAAGCAGACTCTCCCAGGAGGAGTAGAAGATTGGAAATAATCAAACTGAGGGCTGAAATCAACAAAATAGAAACACAGAAAACAATCCAAAAAATAAACGCAACAAAAAGTTAGTTCTTGGAGAAAATCAACAAGATTGACAAACCCCTAGCCAAACTAATCAAACGGCAGAGAGAGAACACTCAAATTAATAAGATCAGAAATGAAAAGGGGGACATAACAACAGACACAGTGGAAATTCAGAGAATCATTAGATCTTACTACAAGAGTTTATATGCCGCAAAGTTGGAAAATGTACAAGAAATGGATTGGTTTTTAGATAAATACCATTTACCAAAGTTAAATCAAGAGCAAGTGAACAATCTAAATAGACCTGTTAGTTGCGAAGAATTAGAAGCTGTTATCAAAAACCTCCCCACCAAAAAAAGCCCAGGACCAGATGGTTTCAATGCAGAATTCTACCAGAACTTCCAGGAAAAGCTAATACCTATACTCCTTAATGTATTTCACAATATAGAAACTGAAGAATCATTGCCAAACTCTTTTTATGAAGCTACAGTTACCCTGATACCAAAACCACACAAAGACACAACCAAGAAAGAGAATTACAGACCAATCTCACTCATGAACATTGACGCCAAAATACTCAATAAAATACTGGCAAACCGAATCCAAGAATACATTAGAAAAATTATCCATTATGATCAAGTGGGCTTCATCCCAGAGATGCAGGGCTGGTTCAACATACGCAAATCTATCAATGTAATCCATCATATAAATAAACTGAAAGAAAAAAACCATATGATCATTTCATTGGATGCTGAAAAAGCATTTGACAAAATTCAACACCCCTTTATGATAAAGGTGTTGGAGAGATTGGGTATACGAGGATCATACCTAAATATAATAAAAGCAATATATAGTAAGCCGACAGCTAACATCAAATTGAACGGAGAGAAACTCAAAGCCATTCCACTAAAATCAGGAACACGACAAGGCTGTCCACTCTCTCCATACCTCTTCAATATAGTGCTTGAAGTCCTAGCAATAGCAATAAGACAACATAAGGGGATCAAGGGGATTCGAATTGGAAAGGATGAAGTTAAACTTTCGTTATTTGCAGACGATATGATAGTGTACATAAGTGACCCCAAAAACTCTACCAAAGAACTTCTACAATTGATAAACACCTTTAGTAATGTGGCAGGATACAAGATCAACTCCAAAAAATCGGTTGCCCTCCTATACACAAAGGATAAAGAAGCAGAGAGGGAAATCAGAGAAACATCACCTTTCATGATAGCCACAAATAGCATAAAATATCTTGGGGTAACTCTAACCAAGGAAGTGAATGACCTATTTGACAAGAACTTTAAGTCCTTGAAGAAAGAAATTGAGGAGGATACCAGAAAATGGAAAGACCTCCCCTGCTCTTGGATTGGGAGAATCAACATAGTAAAAATGGCAATTCTACCAAAAGTAATCTATAGATTCAACGCAATTCCCATCAAAATTCCATCAAACTTCTTCACAGACCTTGAGAGAACAATAATCAAGTTTATATGGAAAAACAAAAAACCCAGGATAGCCAAAACAATCTTATACAATAAAGGAACTTCTGGAGGCATTACCATCCCTGACTTCAAACTCTATTACAGAGCTACAGTATTGAAAACAGCCTGGTATTGGCATAAGAACAGAGAAGTCGACCTATGGAATCAAATAGAAGACCCGGGTATTAACCCACAAACGTATGAACACCTGATCTTTGACAAGGGAGCTAAAGGCATACAATGGAAGAAGGAAAGCATCTTTAACAAATGGTGCTGGCCTAACTGGATGTCAACCTGTAGAAGAATGAAAATAGATTCATATCTATCACCATGCACAAAACTCAGGTCCAAATGGATTAAAGACATCAACATTAATCCAACCACTTTGAACCTGATAGGAGAGAAAGTGGGAAGTAGTCTACAAGATATAGGCACAGGAGACCAGTTCCTAAGCAGAACCCCAGGAGCTCAGACAATAAGAGAAGCAATGAATAAATGGGACCTCCTGAAACTGAGAAGCTTCTGTAAAGCAAAGGACACTGTCAGTAAGACCAAAAGGCTACCTTCCGACTGGGAGAAGATCTTCACAAATCCCTCATCAGACAAAGGTCTGATCTCCAAAATATACAAAGAACTCAAGAAACTAGACACTAAAACTCTAATTAACCCAATTAAAAAATGGGGCACTGAACTGAACAGAGAATTCACAACAGATGAACTCCGAATGGCCAAAAGGCACTTAAAGTCATGCTCAACCTCCTTAGCAATCAGGGAAATGCAAATCAAAACCACTTTGAGATACCATCTTACACCTGTCAGAATAGCCAAACTCAAAAACACCAATGATAGCCTATGCTGGAGAGGATATGGAATGAGGGGAACACTCATCCATTGTTGGTGGGAATGCAAACTTGTGCAGCCACTGTGGAAATCAGTGTGGCGGTTTCTCAGGAAACTGGGAGTCAACCTTCCTCAAGACCCAGCAATTCCACTCTTGGAAATATACCCAAGAGATGCCCTATCATACCACAAAAGCATTTGTTCAACTATGTTCATAGCAGCACTATTTGTAATAGCCAGAACCTGGAAACCACCTAGGTGCCCCTCAATAGAAGAATGGTTAATAAAGGTGTGGAACATATACACATTAGAGTTCTACTCAGCGGTAAAAAACAATGACATCCTGAATTTTGCATGCAAATGGATGGAAATAGAAAATGCTTTACTGAGTGAGGTAAACCAGACCCAAAAAGATGAATATGGTATGTATTCACTCATAAGTGGATTCTAACCATAATTAAAGGTCTTTGAGCCTATTATTCGTGATCCTTGAGAAGCTAAATAAGAAGGTGAACCTGATGAAAATCATGTAGCTATCTGCCTGGAGATTGGAAATAGACAAGAGTCCCAAGTAACCTCGGGTGCATGGGTGGGTGGAATGGTTGTTGGAAAGGGAGAGGGTTAGAGAGAAGGGAGTAGGGGAGGAATGGGGAAAGCTAGGTGGACTGGGATGGGGGGAGGGAGGAAGGATGGATATGAGATCAGGGAAGAATATATTTCAACTAAGGGAGTCATCTTAGGGTTTACAGGAGACTTGATTATAAATGGGATCACAGGTCCAAGGAGATCCCCAGATTGTTCTCTGGACAGAAGAGAGGGTGCCTGAAACGGCCTAGGCCCATAACCATACTGATGAATATTTTGCTTATCACCATAGAACCTTCATCTGGCGATGGATGGAGATAGAGACAGAGACCCACATCGTAACACTGAACTTAACTCCCTAGGTCCAAACGAGAAGCAGAAGGAAAGAGAACGTGAGCAAAGACGGCAAGATCAGAGAGAACCTTCATCCCTCGATGGATGGCGATACAGATGGAGGCCCACATTGGAGCACCAGACTGAGCCCCCCAAGGTCCAAATGAGGAGCAGAAGGAGGAAGAAAATGAAAAAGGAAATAAGGACTGCGAGGGATGTGATCACCCACTGATACAAGGGGACGGATCTAATGAGAGTTTACCAAGGCCAGGTGGACTGGGACTGAACAAAGACGCAATCCAACCAGATTCTCTGAATGTGGCCGGATTCTCTGAATGTGGCTGGCCGGAGTCTTTCTGAAAAGCCATTGACAATGGCACTGGGACTTGTTTCCTCTGCATATACTGGATTTTGCGGATCCAGTCTGTCTGGACACTCACCTTCCTGGATCTGGAGGGAGGGGGGAGGAACTTGAACTTCCCACTGGGCAGGAAACCCTGACTGCTCTTAGGGATGGAGAGGGAGGAGGAGAGGGAGTGGGGGGAGTCGGAGGGTGTTGGGAGGAGGGGCGGAAATGGAAACTTTTATAATTTAATAAAATTATAAAAAAAAAAAAAAGAAAATCCAGCTGAGGTCGTCAGGCTTGGAGACAAGCACCTTTGCCCACTTCGGCATCTCACCAGTCCTGTTTCCTGGCCTGAGTCTCAGGTGTTCCGTAGTTGATTATTAATAACGCGACATGAAATGAATTTTAGCCTGAATACATCTTGTAGCTTAGGTACTTTGTGGCTCCCTGACTCTTGAGTCTTACCATGGTTTCAAGACGGCCAATAACTTCAAAAGTGTACTGTACGGTGTTCCCCGTCATGTCTGACAGCACCTCGCTGATGGTCTTGGTGGAGTCCTTGGGACTGATACACTCAGTGGCGCCTACAGCCAGGGCCTTCTGGAATTTGTCTTTGTTGATGTCAATTCCAATGATCCTGGAGGCGCCAGCTGCCTTGCAGCCCATGATGACGGACAGGCCAACTCCTCCCAGGCCGAACACAGCACAGGTGGAGCCTGGGCTGACCTGTGGAGAGGAAAGTTCCTCCAGGGGTTAACAGTGAAACCTGGCAAGGAGTCTCCATGTCAGGAACACAAAATTCAGAGGATGGCCAAGACTTGGGCCACGACTCCAGGTGACTTACTCAGATGGCACTGGCACCAAAAGAATTAGGAGAAGAATGTCTGAGAAAAGAAGGATTTGCCAAAGCGAATACAACATCTGCAGCTCTTGCTAAAGACTTACCCAGAGGCCAGCAGGCTTTGTAGCCGGTGGAGCTCTACCCATAACCCCCTCTGCCCTCACAGGAGGATTAGACAAGCCCTGAGTTCTCTCTGTTGTCTTTCCACAAAGTCATGTGGATTTGTTTTAGATTTGGTCTGACTGGTAGTGTCTGAATAGCCATGACTCTGAGTCATTTAGAGATCTATTGTCTTATTTTGCCCCAGCTAAGTCCAGCCTCCTTGTGATATGTGATTCAATGGTTGATGGGTAACTCAAGGAAGAAATTCTTCTTAAATCACCTTTGGGATTTTTACCTAGTACTCTGCCAGATTAAAGAAGGGTTCAGCCCCTAGCCACCTTCCTGCTAGAAGAAGAACAAAGATTGGATCCAAGTGATCGCTTAGAAACTCACTAGTCTTTGGGGCTACACGGAAGCTGTTCTGGTCTTCCCTGTGCCCTCCAACCCGTGTGTGAAAATGTTAGCTTTTTGTACCTCAGCAGCTGGTCTTATTTAGGGGTCATCGAGTTACAATGAGGTCATCAGGAAATGCCTTGCTGTGGCTTAGATGTAGTTAGAGCTATGGCTCAGGGTCTATGTGCTGGGGACTCTGCGTCCAGTGTGACCAAGCAAGTGGCTGTGAAACCCATGTGACCTCATGATGAGTGAGTAGGTCCTTCAGGGGGCTGTCCTCAGCAGGGATTAATTCGTGGGGAACCTTGGTTAGTTCCCTGGAGAGTGGGCTGTGTGAGGTCACAGGGCACACTTGGTCTCTGCTCTACGTTGCTGTCTCCGGTTGTTTTCTTATGATGTGAAGTAGCTGGTAGAGGTCCCTAGCCAGAGGCTGAAGAGATGGAGCCATGTGAGCTAGACCTTTTGGTCCTCAAATACCTGTTTTGGTGTTGATGATTTATTGTTTTTTTACATACCTATGTTCAGGCATGTCGTTACAGCAATATAAAACCAACTAGCACATCCCCAATCCAATGTGACTGGTGTTCCTATTTTCCAAAAATTGAAATTTAGCTATAATGATGCAGTAAGAAGACGATATGAAAAAACTTGGAGATTGATAGCCATGGATATAGCAAGAAGAGCAGCCTGAAGCAGATCCTCCCACAGCGGCCCTCAGAAGGAAGCAACCCTGCCAGCACTTTGACTGTGGACTTCAGATCTCCAGAACTTGGACAATAAACCTTTGTTGTTTAAGCCATGGAGTCTGCAGCCCTTGTTACTATCTCCTGGGTTAAACTAACATACCAACACCAGCCTGCCTTCAGTGGGAAAAGAGAGGTTCTTTCAGGACTGAATACAAATTTTTGTGATATAACTTGCTGGAGATGTTGCAGAAACAGAAAGTAAAATCCAGAAATTGTAGCTCCATATATTTAGAAATAAAATTTCTACTTTGACACACACACCCTCCCACCCCCACTTTTTCTTCCAGTTCATCTGGCAGCATGTATGTTTTCACAATGTTTCACTCAGATTGTTCAGTGTTCGGAGAAAACCACCCTCTGGAAGGCTGACAGGAAGGAAGGCAGAAGCTACCCTAGTCAGCCCCGACTCTTACCTTGGCGGTTTTAACGGCAGCCCCATAGCCCGTCGAAAACCCACAGCCAATGAGGCAGGCTCTCTCGGGAGGAGCCGCGCCGTCGATCTTAGCTACCGAAGACTCGTCCAGCACCGTGTACTCCGAGAAGGTGCTAGTGTTCATGAAGTGCTGCACCGGTTTGCCCTTGCACGTGAACCTGGTGGTGCCATCGGCCAGTACTCCACGGCCTGTCAGACTGTTCGATACAGCAAACGCACACATTACTTAAGTCAACTCAGAAGCTATCGCGGGGAAACCGAGGGACAGAGTGAAAAATGGCACCTACTCGCTCCGAATGCAGAGATTGCCCTCGGGGTTACGGCAGGCATTGCATTCTCTACACTGTGGTAGGAAGAGGGGGATGACTTGGTCACCTAGAAGGAAAAGTAGCGCGATGGGAGATGTCATTTGTTTGCTTTAAGCTACGAAGTAAGGCAGTGTGGGGGCTCATGCCTAAAATCCTAGAACAGTGGTGACTGACCCGGGAAGATTGCCAAGCCAGTCTGGGCTCTGTGGTGAGTTTCAGACCAGCCATGGAAACATTAAGACCGCTCTCCTTGTGTCTCCGTAAGCTGGGTTGCGTCTCTACCAACCCCCAGTGAGGATGTGCTGCCCCCTTCCATAGCATAACCCAGGCCTCCGTACCTGGTCTCACTGTAGTGACGCCTTCTCCCACACTCTCTACAACCCCAACGGCTTCATGGCCCACGATCACTGGAAACTTGGACACCATTGCTCCTTTTATCACATGGTCATCGGTGCGACAGATGCCTGTGGCCAAAATCTGTTCAAACAAACAATAACAATAAGCAGCAAGCGGATCATTTTACAATGGGATGTTATTTAACTTGCGTTCTTTAACTCTGTATCATTTTCCCACATTAGAGTGTTGATGCTAAGACAGTCTGAGCCTAAATAAGCATCAGGCTAATTTCTCTTGCTTCGGGGACGTACAACATTGCTGCTTCCCTTCCTGCTTGGATATTGGTTCTTTTCTACAGGTAAGAGGTCAGATTAGCATCCAAGTCTGCTCAACAGAAGCATCTGAACCAAAGGGTTGTCCAAAAGTGGGGGTTCCTGTAGGAAGTTATTGCTTCTCAGGCACAAATGAGTCCCTGGAGAAAATCCTCTAGGTAGGCCTGGTGACACAAGTCTGCAATCCCAGCTATTTGGAAGACAGAGGCAAGAGGAACACACAGTTCACATCCTGGTCAGGCTGCTTCAAAGTGAGTTCAAGGTCAGCCCGTGTGACTTAGACCCTGTCTCCAAGCAAGAGGTAAAAACATGGCTAGAGATATAGTTCCTTGCCAGAGTGTTTGTCTGGCATGCATGATGCCCAAGGTTCTGTTTCTTGTACCACATTAACAAATATACACATACATGCATAAATACGTGTCCCAGTACACTGTGAATCCCAGAAGATTGTAAAACAATCTTTGGTCGTGCTATTGATTTTCTATCAAACACTACATCAGTAAAAATTCAACAGATTTTCTCTTTAATAAGCTAGATTAGCATTGTTGTTCTTAATGGACAATAAATTGGTGAATTTCACAGCCAGCTTGGCCGCTCCCCTAACAATATGCATGAATTGGTTGGAGGATTAGTTGACAAACGTATTTTTAAGAATCTAACCTCTGGGATGGAGATATGGTCTCAGCAGTTAGTTAAGAGCACTGGCTGCTGTTCCAGAGGATCTGGGTTTGATTCCCAGTACCTACATGGCATCTCACAATGGCTCTGTAACTTCACTTCCAGGGAATCCAATGCCCTTTTCTGGCCTTCTCCAGCACTAAGAACACATATGGTGAACAGACATGCATGCAGATAAATACCTTCTGCTGTGGGCCACAAGCATTATACTGTGAAGTATAGCTGACAGATCAGTAGACTAACTCACAGGAGTACAATCTAAAGAGGAACCCGATTTACAGAGCTTCAGAAACATCTGTCTTTTGAGAAGCCTCTGTCACTTCTGTAAACCCTTATGGAGCCATAGCGCCCCTCTGTTTCCATAGTGGAATTCATCCCAAAATATCCTTGCAATGTATAAATTATTCATTGAGTATAACTTCTTTCTGTACTGGCAACTGGATGACTTTTCATTTGGCCTTATAATCTTGATATATAAAATAGGCACTGGGTACCTTGGATTCTGGAAAAGGCCTCGGAGAAAGCAAATATGTCTCATTCAGGCATCGACAGAAACAAAGCCATGGCTTGGCCTGGAGGTTGAAAATGCCAGGCTCTGGATCTTATACTACCACAGTTTCCCCTTTGATCTAGCCACCTTAGCTGTTGTCTCTGGGGCTGAGAGATTCCATTGCCCTTAATCAGCTAGCATTTGACCATCCATTTTCCTTCTGAAGTTTATACTGGTTGCCATGGCTACCGGAAGTGCTGTGTTCCCAGCCATCACTGGAACAGAAGTACTTAGAGAGTGCACAACACTGTAGCATTTTTCTTCCTTTATTCTCTACATTTCTAATTACAAACTCATTGCATAATTAGTCACACTTAAGAAATGTAGTTAGTGCATAAACCACTCTTTTTCCTCTTCTTAGAATTCTGTACTGATTAAAAGTTCCATGCTTAATTGGGAATTGTTGATTATGTCTGTGTGGATATATAAACTGGAAACTCTGTGGGGATTGGGGGGGGGATCAAAAGATATCACCAGGAGGACATTGAAAAAGCATTGGGAGAACATAGGGAAAAGGCTGGGACATGAAAAAACGACGTATGTGAGTTGATTTGTTGACCCTCAGACCTCTTCTAGTCAGTTTTAACTTGTTATAGCTTTCCTTCTGAATCCTGAGAGGTTTAAGGGGGCTGGCACCCCAAGGTAAACCTCTATAGCCCTCTACACATAAAACAGTAAATACGTAACAGTCTAACAGGCAGCCAGCCTCACAACAGTGACTTTCTATATGTAAATGAGATCATGTTTCAGGTTTATGTGTCCCAAACCCTGTTCTTACCTTAACACGAACTTCCTTAGCCTTTGGTGGGGCCACTTCTATTTCCTCGATGGAGAAGGGCTGGTTCATTCCCCACAGCACAGCTGCTTTGCACTTAATAACCTAAGAAGTCAAGAGTCATAACAGGTGTTAATCATACACACAGACTCCCTGAGTCAGAAGTATCACGGAAGATCACATCTAACACTCTGATTTTTTAATGAATGCTTTCCTTCAAAGACAGAATTTGAAGTCTTCCAGATCATCTTGTGTAGACCTTTGTCTGATGTAATGGCCTGAAAAATGCAGGCCAGAGACGTGGAATGACAGGCCCTTAACACACAGCACATAAGGTCAGGGCAGGAATTCAAGATTCTCAGTTCCTTCTCCAGCAACATGTCTGCCCACACATTGTCACATCCTGCCATGAAGATAATGGACTGAAACTGTACGTCTCCATACCCCCAATTAAATGTTTTCTTTTATAAGAATTGTTGTGATCATGGTGTTTCTTCACAACAATAGAAACCCTGATTAAGACAAAAGTTGGTACCAGGGACAAGGTATTGCTTTAATAGACCTGACCATGCTTTTGTTTGAAGGCATGTGGACTTTTGGAATTTGGGTTAGGAAAACAGTGGGACACTTTAAGCACTGCTTAATGGGTCATGAAAGGAGGAGCATGGAAGACAGCTGAGGATAATATGAACTGTAGGGGCCTGGTTCAAGAGGATTCAGAGGAGAAGAATTCTAGTATGTTGCCTATTTATCATTCTTTGGATGTTTTGGTGAAGAATGTGGCTGCTTTCTTGTCTGAAAAGTCTGCCTGAAGCTAAAGTGAAAAGTTTTGGATTGGTTGTATTGACCAAGAAAAATCTCAAGACAGCTTAGTATAGACCCTGTTGTGTGGTTACTATTGCTAACTGTAGCAAAGATTTAAAATGAAAAGGAGCTAGTTGAGCAATGAAAAATACAAAATGTACAATTTGAGGACAAAAGGAACCCTAGGAATTAGAATGGAGCAAAGACGTGTGTTCAAGGATATAAATGGATTAAGAAATAGAATAAAGGGTGTGGTGACTTCATGGCGAGATCCCACACAGCTAAGTTTCCAATCTGTGGAAAGATATCAAAGTAAAACTTTGAGCTGATGGGATGGTACATGCCGTCAATCCCAGTGCTCTGGGAATTTAAGCAAGCAGGTCTCTAAGTTCAAGACCAGCGTAGTTGACAGATTGAGTTCCAGGATAGTCAAGATTAGGCAGCGGAGGAAACCATGGAAAGCAGAAGGCTGGTAAATACATAACTGAGCAAGGAGCCCTTGACCCAGCTCTACCAAGCAGCAGAACTTGACCATTTCAGCCACATATTTCTGGCTTTAGAGTCAATGATAGAAGAAAGGGGTTATAGAATCTTCCTCCCAAGACTAAGGAAAGCCACTGAGAACAGGTGTAGCTACAAATATTCTCCATTACACTGGTCCTCCTGGACAGGTTTCTCTCCATCAACCTGGTTCCACTCCGTAGCTAATGTAGCCACTTACAAAATAACCACTCTGAGGCTTAATGTTAATTACATATTCTTTGGCCTATTAGAGTAAGCTTCTTATTAACCAACTCTTACATCTTAAATTAACCCATTTCTATTATTTTACATTTTGTCATGAGGTTCGTGGTTTGTTCCCTCTTGCTTCTTGAGCGGCTACATAGCATCTGCCTGACTCTGCCCGCTTTCTCCCTGCATTCAGTTTAGTTTTCCCACCTACCTGCTATATTCTGCCCAGCCACGGGCCAAAGCAGCTTCTTTATTAACCAGTGGGAATAAGGCATATTCATAGCACACAGAGGAGAATCCCACATCAACCAGGTATGAGTCAGGGATGTCCCTGAATGGAGGCCCAAAGAGGCCATTGCATAAAATTGTAAAATTGAAACCTGAATTGCTTTGCAGACTTCAAGATGTTGGAGGTGCCAGAGCCATAGGATATCTGTTGAGGAAACTTGCTAACAGGTAGTGGGAACAGCCCAAGAGAAAGAACTGTGTTGCTGTCAACAAAGCTAAAAGGAGTTGGAGATCTGAAGAGTGTTTTGACATCAGACACAGCGATGCTTTGGTCCAGTATCTCCTCACTATTCTCCCTTTACTACATTTTGGAATGTACTACACTTTGGAATGGTAATGCTGGAGGTATTATGTACATGCTTTTTTATTTCAATTCTACAGGAGACTACAGTTAAGAGATTGTATGAGTCTCAAAGAGACTTTGAACCTTAGACTTTTAAATAAGTTTGAGACTTACATGCTATGGGGACATCTAGAGTTGAACTGAATGAACTTTTGCATTATGATATGGCTATAAGTCTTTGGGGACATGAAGTGAAATGTGGCGGTTTGAAATAAAATGTTTCCCAAAGAGAGTGGCACTGTTGGAGGAAGTGTGTCACTGTGAGGGGTGGGCTTTGTGGTCTGCTATGCTCAAGCTGCTCACAGTGAGGCACATAGTTACTTCTTGTTGCCCATGGATCAAGATATAGAACTCTTAGCTCCTTCTCCAGCATCATATCTGCCTGCACACTGTCAGGTCCTGCCATGAAGGTAATGGACTAAACCTCTGAAATTGTAAGCCCCTCCATTAGATGTTTTCCTTAATAAGAGTTGTTGTGGTCATAGTATCTGTTCACAGCAATAGAAACCCTAACTAAGACAGATATAGAGCTGATTGTAATCATCATGAAGCACATGAATTGTGACTATGTTTCTGGATCCATATCTTTGCATCTCCACGTCCCTTTTTTGTACTTAACCCAAGTCAAAGCATCTTACCTTGTTTAAATAGGACATACCCAGGAACTGAGCACAGATACTCATGTGGTTTTGCTAGAGCTAATCAGCTAACTGGTTTGGTAAGAATATCAAATTCTGACAAGAGAGATAGAGAGAGAGAGAGAGAGAGAGAGAGAGAGAGAGAGAGAGAGAGAGATTTGCCTGTAAGTTTTCTGATTTCCTAACCTCGATATGAAACAGCCACAGGAGACCTTGCGTTAAAAAAAAAAGGTAGAAATAGAGGACATCTGACTTCTACGTGTAAGCTATGGCACACGTATCTAGGTATCTATAGTCACATGCATGTATGTGTAAACACAGGGAGAAAGAAAGAGAGGAGGAAAGAGAGCGGAGAATGGAATGGGAGGGAGAGAGAGAGAGAACTTACAGATTCAAATAAAATATAAAATTTTCATTTGCTCTGATTCAACACTGTTATGGAATATTATTTTAACTAGGTAAAGATGCGTTACACTTGTTTATGCTACAGAATATTACTGTAACTGTGTAAAGGTGGGTGTCATTTGTTTCTGCTGCATTTGTTTAATGATGTAAGGAGGTGTGCTTAGTTATGTAACGATATGTTGTATTTGTTCCACCTTGCCTGTCTAAGGCACCTGATTGGTCTAATAAAAGGTTGAATGACAAATAGCTAGGCAGAAGAAAGGATTGACGGGGCTGGCAGGCAGGGAGAATAAATAGGAGAAATCTAGGCTCAGGAGAGAAGGAGGAGGAGGGGGATTTGAGGGACACACTCAGGACTAGAAACTGTGCAGCCACCAGTCACCCAGATACAAGAAGCAGTGAAGGTAAGATATACAGAAAGATTGAAAAGTAAAAAAGTTCCAGTGAAATGAATCTCTGCTCTTTAAGTGACATAGTCCCTGGTATTTGTTGTGGCATCTTTAGCAAATTAATATAATCATCTTTTAAAAAATTGAAATGGCAAAAAGTTAAAAGAGGAGGACTGCTATAAGAGAACCTCTGGTGTGGAAAGTGTTGCTTTTATTGGTTAATGAATAAACCTGTTTTGGCCTGTGATAGGGTAGAGTAGAGCTAGGTGGGGAAAACTAAACTGAAGGCTGGGAGAAAGAAGGTGGAGTTAGGAGAAGCCATGAAACCCCACCAGAGACAAATACCAGACGGAACCTTGCCGGTAAGCCACAGCCACATGGCAATACACAGATTAATAGAAATAGGTTAAATTAATATATATGAGCTAGCCAATAAAAAGCTAGAGCTAATAGGCCAAGAAATAATTTAATTAATACAGGTTTTGTGTGGTTATTTCAGGTCTGGGCAGCTGGGAATGAACTAGCAGCCTTCTTACTATAAACCTCTCTTTCTGAGATGTGTGGAAATACCAGAACAGTTTTGTGGAGCACATAACCCCACTGTGAACGACCCTACTGTATAGCATTGCCAAATGAAAATTCTAAATCCATCGTGCTATTTATTTTATGTGCTGTATTCTTAATTATAGTTAGGAGATGCTGCCTGGAGTCCCTGAATTCTTCGTGACTGGGGATGTTATGATAGTGGCTGTGAGTCACACGATGAAGGCCACAGAGCTGGTTGTATGGAGTTGCCACTAACTGAAGATTCATTTCAACTCTAAGTTCTATTTATTTCTATGAGAAAAGGTACTGACTTCCGTAGCACAAAACTAATTCTCGTGATTATCAGTTTTTACGGGATTTCTGACTCAACCTAAGATGTTTTTGCTCTATCTCTCTTCAGTTCTGGGGAGAAAGCTTTTTCATATTCTAACAGCCTTAGTACTGTCTCAGAGACACTTGTGTTACCCGAACTTTAAACGTCATCTCCATCTTCCTAAAATTTTCAGTTGACTAATTGCAAAGTTGCTTAAAAGTAATACAAATATAGATGCCCAACATCTTAAGTCGTTCTGTATCCATTTAAGACAAGGGCCAATCTATCCCAGTCTTCGAGTGGGAAGAAAAATAGTCTTATTTCTTCAATTTCTGTCACCGTTCAGGGGCTGTTACCTTCTGAAGGAATAGGCATGCTTTAGCTCTAGCGTAGTCCTATTTCTAAGAATGCCTACTCTTACATTTTTAGACAAAACAAGTCCTCAGAGACTTGAAAAGTATGGTTACTTAGCTGTTGACTTTGCATTCCATAATTAGCCTTTCCTGTCCTCAACAGTGGGCCACATTTTATCCTGCAGCTGCACAAGAGATCCTGGACCCATTAGACTCCAGAAATGAGTTGAGTACATGCGGCTGATCCTATGGATGTCTCCTTGTGGAAACCGTTTGCTCTCTAGAGCAAATGAATGACTGGCTTGAAGTTAAATCATGAATATGTCCATATAAACCATAGTTTTCTTTTTCCCTTTGCTGCCTTCTAGAACTTTCTGCATGTGGTTTTCAATCAAATCCTGCTGCTTGCTATTGGCCTTCTGACACAATTTCCCCATGTTTCCCCCATCTATGCCCACACAACAGCCTCGCCTTTTTCAAGGAACAGCCTTGAACATTTAGTTACTCTGCTGGATTCAAAGGTCACAGAAGTAGCCCCCCCACCCTTATTAGCTCAAGAGAATAAGAAAGCTGAAATGCTTCACTTACTTTTCCAGCAGTGCCCATTCTGGCTCTCTTGGGTTTGGGGTCTGCAAACTGGGTTGCTTTCTAGTGATGCTCAGTTCACTCTGCCATGAATAACAGCATCTGCTGCCTTTAATAAATAGCGTGACTTGGAAGTTCTGCCTGCCTTCAGCAACATGATTCATAACCTTGAAACTTTTCCATCCCCAAGAAGCTCCACCCTCCTGCAAATCAAGTGGTGAAAACAAATAAAATAACTGTTAGGATTAGACAAAGAATAAGCCCCTAACAGAAACAGGATAGTCAACTCCACTGTGACGGTTGAGAAAGCACTTCTTACCTATTTTATTTTGGAGCATATAAAAAGAGGTCAGATTAGTTCAGCTCAGTGCAATTGATAAAGAATGAATTGAGTGTTTCTAAGTGTAAGCTATTATGTAAGGCAGCTGATTTTAGGGATGTGTTTAAGCATTTGGTTTTGCACTCCATCCTGCAGACTTGATATAGCTTGTGGATCGCATGGTTAAATATAAATGAGGGCTAGGGGTATGACTCTGTGGTAGAGCCCATGTCCTTTCCTGGGTTCATTCCTTAAACACAAATACACAAGCATACCACACACACCACACACCCCACACACTTCCCCACACACAATTATAATGATATGTATGTATGTATGTATGTATATATGTATGCAATCAACACAAGGAAATCTTCAAAATCTGTATCTTCCCAGAATTGCTCATACACATAGGTATCCAGACTACCAGGGAGTTAGAATCCTACTATACACAAAGGCCATTGCGTTCCTCCACTCCCTGCCCCCAAATCATTTGGGCAAACATTTAGCTATTTCCCTATTCTAAACCACTATTTTCTAATGTACAGTCACACCAGACCCTCTTCAACCTACTTTCCCCTTTGATATGAGGGAGTCCAAGGTATTTCCCATCTTTGGCAGTGGTTGGTTGTCACACTGACCCACCACAGTCTCCAGTGAACTCTCCACTTGCCAGTAAGCTATCACTGCTGTGAAATGGCATGGCGAGTTAGGCTTTCATCATTAGACAAAACTCTTCAGTCCTGAAATAGAGAATGCAGGCTCTTACCAACCCAGAAGACATTTGGCAGAGTTTGTTGTTCAGCTACTTTTGTGTCAACAAAACCCTTTCCTCTGACAAACTGAAAACCTGCTCACAAAGCTCTCAGCGCAATGCAATACATGCGGTAAATCCCATCTAACACATTTCTATAAATACAGAGGTAGTGATCACGATCAGTAATTCTGATGCATTGGTCAAATTAAACCCAGCAGGTAAAGCATTATCAATGGACCAGGCTTGTGTGTAAGTGTCATTGATTCAGCAGCAAGGGTGGAGAACTCAACCTCTGTTGTAGGCACAGTAGGAAAGAGTTAGGCAGGTATGGACACGGACAGACATTCGGAGTCTCAGTTGTCAAAGAAAACAAAGAGCAAGCCCCAGCTCAGCCACAAAAGTTTGTTTACTTCTGAACAAAGACAGAAGAGTAATAACATGGGCGGTGCCTACACAAAGGCAGCAGAAAAGAAACAAGGGTGGTACCCTGCACAAAGGCAAAGCTGCTCAGTTGATAACCCCCTTAAGGGTTTTGCCAAGCTATATAACATATTCATCTGAAAAGTAAAATATTCTCAAGTTAATATACCAGGCGATGTTTGATAGCTAAATAAGTTTTTATGCTCCCACTCCATTTCACTCAGAATTGATTGGCTAAAAAACATCAAAAGCAGAACATTGGAAAGTACCCAATAAAAATGATTGTGCTGGGGTGGGGGCAGGGGTGGAATCCAGGAAGTGAAGGGAAGGAACAGGGGGATGAATACAGTCAAAAGTCATTGCACGTATGTGTGAAATTCTCAAAGAATAAATAAGAACATTATATTAAAAATTAGACTTAAAGTGCACGGCTTGTGGTCTCCAGGATGAGGCATCAGGTTAGACACTTCCTCCATGGAGTGCAATGAACGAGAAGAGTCAATTAGCGAAGGGTAGACTACATTGCGAACAGAGAGAGACAGGCGAGCTCTGGCTAGCCCAAAGACTGTACCAGGAAACCAAACAGTAGGGAACTAGCAGAACACTGCAAAGGAATGTGCAGCACATGGCTATAATGTGGCGCTCTGATGACGCAGACTCCTCATCCAAAAAAAAAAAAAAAAAGTGACGGAAAAGTGACCGATGGTCCTACCCAGGGGACAGCCCAGCAGTTGCCACAGGCCTGAATCTGGTAGGGGATTCTGTCCAGGCAGTGACTCCTGCTTGCTGGGCAGCTGTGCAGAGAGATTCCACTTTGCCACACCCAGTATCTTAGAGAGCAGTGGCCAGGTGCCATCTTGAGAGTTAAGCTTAAGAAGTAAGCTTAAGATGGTATCTCAGAGTCTTTGATTTGCATTTCCCTGATGGCTAAAACGTTGAGCAATTCCTTAAATATCTTTGGGCCATTTCAGGGTTTTTCTGTTGAGAATTCTCTGTTTAGAGCTGTACCCCATTTTTTAATTGGATTATTTGGTATTTTGATGCCTAGTTTGAGTTCTTTCAATATTTTGGAGATCAGCCCTCGGTCAGATGTGGGGTTGGTGAAGATCTTTTCCCATTCTGTAGGCTGTTGTTTTGTCCATTTATTGTCAATCTCAGTGTCTGCACTACTGGTGTTATATTCAGGAAATGGTTTCCTGAGCCAATGCGTTCACGGCTACTTTCCACTTTCTCTTCTGTCATGTTCAGTGTAACTGGATTTATGTTGAGGTTTTTGATCCACTTGGACTTGAGTATTGTGCAGAGCAATTGGTATGGATCTATTTGCATTCTTCTATATATAAGGGCATCCAGTTATGCCTGAGCCATTTGCTGAAGATGTCAGAATGACTAAGGTCAAAAACACTAATAACAGCCTATGTTGAAAAGAACGTAGTGTAAGGGGAACACTCCCCCACTGATGGTGGGAATGCAAACTGCTACCGACACTTTGGGAATCAGTTCGGCAGTTTCTCAGAAAATTGGGAATCAATTAACCTCAAAACATAGCTATACCAATCTTGGGCATATAGTCAAACGATGCCAAATCATACCAAAAGGACACTTGCTCAGCTACGTCCATAGCAGCATTATTCATAGTGGTCGGAACCTGGAAACAACCTAGATGTTCCTCAACTGAAGAATGGATAAAGAATATGTGGTAGCTTATACAAAATGGAGTTTAACTCAGTGGTTAAAAAAAATAATGACATCATGAAATTTGAAGGCAAATGGATGGAACTAGAAAAAAATCATCCTGAGTGAGATAACCCCAGACCCAAAAAGACAAATATAGTATGTACCCACTCATAAGTGAATATTAGCTGCAAAATAAAGGATAATCATACTACAATCCACAGTCCTGGAGAAGCTAGACAACAATGATAACTCAAAGAGGGACACAAGAATTTTCCTGGGAAGGTGGAAATAGATGAGATCTCCTAGGTAAACAGGGTGTGAAGTGGGGAGGGGGCATGGGAATTAGGAACATGAGGGATCCAGATGGTTGAATTGGGGGAGGGACACAGAGGTAGAGCAATGAAAGAGGTATCTTGATAGAGGGGGCCATTATGGGGGTTAGGGAGAAACCTGGTACCTGGGAAACTCCAGGAATCCATAAGGATGACCCCAGCTAAGATTCCTAGCAACAGTGGAGAGGGGGCCTGAACTGACCTTCTCTTGTGATCAGTTTGGTGACTACCATAATTGTCATCACAGAGCCTTTATTCAGTAAATGATGGAAGCAGATGCAGAGATCCACAGCCAAGCACTTGGCCAAGATCCGGAAATTCTGTTGAAAAGAGGGTGGACGGATTGTATGAGCCCTCTGGATGACAGTTGTGTAGCTTGGTGTTTTTGTGGGGCACCTAGCAGTGGGATCAGGACCTGTCCCTGTCCCTGGCACTTGAGCTGACTTGTGGGAACCTGTTCCCCATGCTTGGATGTCATGCCTAACCTTGATGCAGAAAGAGTGGAGCTCGGTCCTGCCTCAACTTGATATGCCATGTTTTGTTGACTCCCATGGGAGGCCTCACCCTTTCAGCATGGAGAAGCAATAGATGGGGGACATAGGTCGGAGGAGGGGGAAGAGAATGTGAGAAGAGGAGGCAGGGGAAGCTGTGGTTGGTACGTAAAACAAATGAAAATAAACTAATTAAAAAAACAAAAAAGTCTAGAGCTGAGAATGTGCACAAGAAAAAAATCTTGAATAACTAAACTAATGATTCACCTCAAGCGTTAGAGAGCAAGTACAAGTCAAACCCAGAGGAAGCAGACAAATCAATGAAATAGAAACTAAAGCAACAATAGAAACAATGGATTGAATAAAACTTTGAATCTTTGAAAAGACAAAGACCAAATAGCCCTTAGCCAAATTAGCCAAATGAAAGAAAAGACCTATTTAATGAAATGAAAAGAGAGACATTACAACAGACACAAGAGAATCTTGGAAAAATACGTGGGAAGCCTAAATTCAAAGAGCTAGAAAGTCTAGAAGAAATGAATAAGTTCAGAGACACCTCTGACCTATACGATTTACACTGAGTAGATACGAACAATTTAAACAGATCTGTAATGAGCAAAAATATTGAAATAATAATATTCCTCCAATAAGGAAATTCATAGGACAGGAGGATTCCATGTTGAATTCCACCACCCTTGGGGGAAAAAAGAGCTGACAGAAGTAGTTCTCAAACGATTACATAAAATCAAAAACCACACACCAAACTCATCCCATGAAGGCTGCTATCCTGATACCGATACCAGATAAGGATGTAATAACAACAAAAACAATATGGATCAATTTCCCTGATGGGGGCAGATGCAAAGATCTTTAATAAAATGATTGCAGACTGAATTTAAGAATATATTGAAAATGTCACACAGCGTGAACAAATTGGTGCCTCTGAGGAATGAAAGGAAGGCTCAACATATGCAGATCAATAAGTAGAGCACAGTGTATAAGTAGGTTCAGAGGAGATCATAACCATCCCAGAGTTAATGAGGGTCTGTCATGAAAAGGGCTTATCTTGAAGGACCTGTGTAATCCAGACTGGTACAAGAGTAAAGGTTTGGGACTCAGGGTCTTTGGTTCAGGGCCTGGCTTCTCACTTGTGTGACCTCATGTAGCACATGTGTGAGTGGGAGAGACAGTAGCTATGATGCTCAAGTGTCCTGAGGATTCGGTTTGGGGACACCCAACTCCTCCACTGTTTCACTCGTAGCCAGGAACAAATGCCAGTGGTTAACCTGATTCTAGTTATAGCAATTATTATTCTGATTTAGTACTTGGATTTTTAAAATAGTTGAGATATAATTACTTTGGAGAAAATGTGCTTACATCACTTAGCTGCGAGGTTCTAGAAGCCTCCAGGATTTTCCAGAAATTTGGGCACCAAGATCCCTCTGAACAGAGAATTTCTATTGAGAATCAGAACGAAAGGAGAATACTGTGATCCTCACACAAATTGATCACCCATCAGATTGTCCAGCAGCAGGAAGGTTCCAGAATGCAGAACTGTCCGTGCCCTGACCAGGAGAGCCCCAGACACATGGAAACCAGTTGATCGCCACTGTTGCAAGCAGCCTTGCCTGGAGTATGAGCTCTACTGGGCCGTGTTAGCATGGGGTCACTGGCTCTTGTTACGCAGGACACTGTTCCTTTCCTTTCCATCAGCTCATCGAAGACTCTGGTCTCCATGTCCCACAGGGACAGCAGGAATAGAGAAGGACCTTTGAAGTCAGAAGAGCTAGCTAACATCCGCTCCAGTGGTGGCCAGTAAGGGGACACACTGTGTACTTGGGAAACACCAAGAGAAGCAAACGTTTCCATCTGGGGCTTCTTGAGAGGTGTCAGTGAAACCGACGTGTAGAGGCACATAGAAATGAAAATAGTCTTATTTCTAGGGTTCCCAAGAGGGGGAAGCCATTGCAGGAACATGGAAATGGAAAACAATATCCTGTTGAGTTCGTCTTCATAGCAGAAAGAGCTGTGGCACTGTAGTTACTGAAGGGCACACCTTGTCACCCAGCATCACAGGGAACACTGCCGGATTCTGATCCACCTTATCAGACACCAAACCTTGAGGGTGGGGTTTTCTTCTAGACTTTGTTTCTCACATTTTCTCAGTCCGATGATGAAAACACAGGCTGTAAGCAATCAGTTGCAAGCTGAAACTCATCCTCCCCTACCCTCTTCAGCTGTGGCAGGCCCTGTGGGGATGAGGCACGCCAGGGGCGGGGCAGTGGAAGCATCCCATCCCTGCTCTGATGTGGGAGGCTTATCCTCTGCTGGGTGTTGGATGCCAGCTCCCTGGGCTGCTGTGGAGATCGTGCTTGGCAGGTCCAACATCTTCGCTTTTACGTGCACGCCCCACTCTAGAAAAGAATTTCAATGAGGATTTTTCTTTCAAAGCAAGAAAGGGGTGTCTCATCTGCTTTGAGTTGACGCCTCAGTTACCAACTACCTGTTACTTGATGAGAACTCCAATCTGAGGAGATCGAGAATTGAGGAGAAAAGTAAATCAAAGTTGTTTTCTGTTCTTTAAATATGCATGCACACATACATGGGGGTGGGCATAGTCGGTGGTAAATGTTTCTACGTGTCTGGCTAAAGCATGCTAAATAGCTTCTAGTTACCTAGATCTACCTGTTATTTCAGAGACTGAGTCTAGAAGCTGCTCCGTGCCGAGAAAAACAGGTGTCGATTAATACACCTAAAAAACAAGAAAAGAAGCCCTCTAAGAACCCAAAAGCAGGAGATACAGCCCAGGAAAAAGGACATTGGTAGCCCTGGGGAGTGTCTATCAGGGCAACAAGGCAAGTTCATGATGTGTTCTCTCTTTACACCTGTTTCTACTGCTCCCTCGGGGCTCGTCTCAATAAAATTCCAAGTAGGAGCCCAGAGTGTTGACAGAGCATCTGTAGATGTCTTCATTGTAGAGGCTCAGTTCCTATTCAGAGTCCTTTCCTGCAGTACCTAGGGCCGCAATTATATGGTGGATGGTGAGCAAGGATGACAGCAGTCAATACCCCTCATTAAAGTTCTCACTTCTCTTTTAACCTGTTTTATGTAGACAAGTCTTTCTTTCCTTTAGAAGAGGTTCCTTTGACATCCAGAAGAAAAGGGAAGTACTTCATTTGCTCTCTGAATCATGGACACAGAAATGTGTGTGAACTCTTGAGATGGGCTTTCTCTTGAAATAGAGAAGAAATTTTCAGGTCTCATCTCCAGATAATTTCAAGGAATTGTCATTTTTGCAAGTAACAGCTCAGAGCAAAGTCCTGCACTTTGGGGTATTCTGTGCTGCTGTGGGTTGATCGAAGAAAGAGGTCACTCCAAGGTGAAATTTTAAGGCTTGTGTGGTAGCAGAAAGGTCCAGCCTCTGACAAACTGAACCCCGAACAATCGCACAAAGGTAAATTTATTGATTGTTTTGCAAAGTTGTTTTGCAGGTGAAGTAATCCCTCATACCAAGGTCCCAAATCTAATCTATGTGTCTCTCTACAGGAAAGCTTCACATGCCAACATGACTCTAGTTCTTTATTGTGTATCGTTTGCTATACACAATAATCCAAGAGCCTTGCGTAAGTCCCGGTCTCTGGCCTCCAACTTTGGAGGCCCCACCCCTGTGCCTGTCAAGCCTTGACCCCTCCCCCGAGGAGGGGCAAGGTAGCCCGCCAAAACCTTGACCACTCCCCCAGTCTATTTAAACTGTTCTCTGGAAAGTCCCTTTGTGCCCCCCGCCCCGTGGTCGTGGCATTTGCAGCCTCCCAGTCCCCCTCCCCGGGACCACCCGAGAGCGAAGCAATGCCTTTAAACCTGGATATTCTTTAATTTGACTTGTTGTGCTTTGGCTTAATTGGGATTTTTGCTTCGGCAGAGAGTTCGCCTTAGGAATATTCCTAACACCTTAGAGGCTTCTTGTGACCAAAGTCATGCGAAGACTGCAACGCCCTTTCAGAAAAGCAATTGTACAGTCATGGAAAACAATGACTGTTTCCCACAAAGATTCTTTACCGTTTTCCACAATTCTTCACAAATGTACTTATAGAAAACAACTGCCCATTCTAACTTCTGCCCTACATACAGCGACTCTGCTAAACTCCTTCAACACTGGGGGAGGGAGGACTGATGTCACTATTACCCGCACACGAACTGGTTCCTGGAAATGATGAAGGTAGCAAGGACGGCGCCCACGTAGACTTACGCCTACAGAGGTCATTGTGACTTTCACCAGCGCTGCCACACCTGGCTGTTTGGGGATGCCCGTGAAGCCTGAAATATCGCAGAAGATAAAGCAGAAGGTCCCTGGGGGTCCAACTTTTTAAAAATAATCATATCGAATATATGCTGAAATAGAAGACAGTTTGCAAGGACCGTGAATATGGAGACAGAGAGGGGGAGAAGCACAGATTTCCCCATACTTTATAAAATGCACAAACCCCACAACACTATCGAACCGTTTGTTTTCTTTTATCTCATCCAAGCTCCGTTGCTCTCTGGACCTTCCAAGAGCAAGAACTCTGCTGTCACCATGAGTCAGCTCTTCCTGCTCTTGCTGGTCTACCCAGCGGCTTCATGTGTTTTGCCCAGCTTCGTGATTTCTCATGGAATCAATTGGAAAGTTTTCCCATAATTCGCCTTTAACTGAAAAGAGGTTATGTGAGAGCTGGTTTTGTGTGTTCTAACTGCTGTCCTGGCTTTTCTAGTATACACCACCATGAGCCGTTGCAAGCAATACTACTCCAGTCTGAGAGTGCTGTAACCACAGACTAAGGTTTGTGGGGGCTCTCTGCCAAAAAGCTGGGAGACAGAAATGAAGAGAAGAGAAATGAATTTGCTGGAGACTGGCTCGGAGAAAAATAGAAAAGACTTGTTTGTATCCCCAACATCCCTCTTTGAAGGGGTTAGATGGGCTAATGGCCTATGTAGGACACCTCAGGTTACAACGAAAGGATGGGAAGAAAACTCAACTGTGGGGGGCTCTTTCTCTTCAGGGCACATGAGTGTACACACCCATGTGGAGGCTGTCTTCCATGATTACTCTCCAGCTACATGTTGAGATGAGGCCCCTTGTCAAACCCCTTGGAGCTCATATATGGGCTACCTGTGAGCTGGCTCCAGGGCTCTCCCGTTTCTACCTTCTGCACTCTGGGGGTCACCCTGTCCTCTAAGTCTTTATGTGGGTGCTGACAATATAAACTCCCATATTCAAGTCAAGCTTGCAAGGCAAATGATTTGCTGCCTAAACCATCTCCCCCAGGTCCTGATGGGTGGATTTTTCAAATTCAGAAGTTGGAACAGCCTGATCCACCTTAACTTTTAATAAAATCCTAAGTAGTCAAAGACTCAGAGTAACCACATCTTTCCAGTCTCTCTTCATTTCGCTCAGCAAGCTGTACTATCCACTTGCTGAAATTTTATTTTACCAAAATCTTATACCCATTTCTCTGATGTTGACTTTGTGTTTAGGAAAGTCCTCTAACTTAAATAGTCACCTTACCAAAGGATGGAGGTGACCTCCAAGCTTGCTGTAAATGGCACAACCGTTTTCACTGAGAGCGGGACCTGCTTTTACCTAACGAGAGCAAGCTGGAGGCAAATTGGGACCTGAAGTATAATCCTATTAGTTGAGGACAAGTCTGCGGTCTGCTCTGGATTATTTCAAAATAGAAAACCTTCAAGTTCAGGCATAAACACTTTAACTATGCCCAAGCTGTGTTAAATCTGGTTTTGTCATTAGAAGTGTGCCTGGCATGGTGCTGCTCACTTACCTCCTAGAGAGGCAAAGGCAGAAGGGCCTAAAGTTCGAGGCTAGCCTGTTTTATCGCGGTTCTGGGCTAGCAAGGGCTACAAACAGAATGGATGGAAGAATGAAGGAACGAGACAAAAGCAAGCCTCTGTACGGTCTGATGAGGTTAGGTTTGGTGGTGGGGGCTTCATTTTTACAGTTGAGACCTAGTCTTGGAAATATTAATTTGGGCATTCATCTGTAGTGATTTCTGAGACATTTCAATACTTTCTGGGAAAATAGCATAGGAGATTTTATATCAGGGAAAACAAAGCCCCTGATGAAAAGCCTGGAGACCTCACATACAAGGAACATAAGTGTGAAGCCGGTGTCTTCCTGCTCATCCGTGTGCTTTCTCTCCCAGTTGCCCCGTGAAGAGTCCTGCACAACTAGGTACAGTGAGGCTGACAGGGGTTTCACAAGCATGGACAAAAGGGCATGCCTTTCTCCACAGTTGTTCCTCCTCCTTCTCCTCCCTCTCTTACCCCCCTCCTCCTCCTCTTCCTCCTCCTCCTCCCCTCCTCTTGTGAGCTGCTGTACCTTCAAAGGGTCAACCATCCTCTTGCCCTCATATCTGTCATCATCTGGGGCCCTGCTGAGTCAACCCAAAAGGTGCTGCAACAGAAATCGA